ACTCTTTATTCTAGCGACGAAGGTTGGCTTTATCTGACAGGATCCCCTGATTTATTCTTTGCTCTTAAGCATTATTTTGATAGGTGGCTTTCTCTCTACTGCAATGGTATGTTCCCTTCTTTTGCCGACCTGGAACATTTTTATAATTTTTTATTCCACTTTTGGCTGGACATCTAGTTTAGGAGACGATAAAAGGAAGCGAGGTCCTCCGTGACATGGTCTTCAGATCGAACCGAGATTGGTTCTGGCAAGCCCAGAACAAATAATCCCGGCAGAATTTCTGAAATCCGCATCTTACCTTCCAGTGGAATTCTGTGAAGGAGGAGGTTGAAAACCTTATAATTCTGCAGTATTTTTCGTAAATGAAAGAAAATTAAGCGCAAAACTAAATACGCGCCATGTATAAATTGTTACTCATCTTATTACTTTGCGTAACTGCTTTATCCAGCTAACTATTAATATTAGTCTTTGTTTTAACTACTGTAGCTAATATAATCAAAGAACCCTTTCTAGCCAACGATTTCGAATTAGAATGGCAAGTCAATCAATTTTCGTTTGACATCTCATAAGAGAAACTACCTCAGTGCTGATGATATTTTTCTTTTAAGGGTCTTCTCGGCCTCCTTCGAAAACTTAAATCAAGGCCAGACCGTGAGATTAGAATACTATCGTTGGGTCTTGATAATGCGGGAAAAACAACAATTCTAAAACAGCTCGCATCAGAAGATATAGCACACGTATCGCCAACCCAGGTAAAAGCCAGCTTAATTACATATTTCTATAGGGATTTAATGTGAAAAGTGTTGTGACTCAGGGGTTCAAATTAAATGTTTGGGATATTGGCGGCCAACGCAAGATACGCCCCTATTGGCGGAATTATTACGATAACACAGACGTTTTAGTAAGAAAATATTGCGTATTGTTTATTATATTGAAATCGTCTTTAAATTCCTTAATTCATCTGTGGCAAGCCCATCATAACGCCCAGTGTTGTTGGGTTTGTTGCAAAATTCTGACCTGACACCTCCGTACATTTGCCTATATGCGTCAAAATGATTTTAATCCTGTCATTGTAGATTTACGTAATTGATAGTTCAGACGACGCACGCTTTGAAGAAACAGGTGAAGTGAGTAATTTAAATAAGCAACTTATTTTTACCTTAAATTCATTTTGCTTTGACTATTTACTGAGTAGCTTCTGTTTTTGCCCCCGGCATATTTAACGTCATGAAAAATATAAAATTTTATGTTTTTACCATCGTATCACGGTTCAATATGTAGCTCCCAATTATGCTTTTTACGTCGCAAATTTCCTTTACTATGTAAGTTATCCGGCCATTATTTCGGGTTTAGTAGAGAAAAGCATCCTAAAATATTGTTCCTCTGCCGTTTCTCTCGTTAGCTTGTGGCAATCCTTTGTCTGTTGTATATCAGATTTATTCTGCATTCTTTACCAATTAAATTTTATTAAGGAAGATTGGCAGTTTTGACTAATTCAGTTTTAGTGCTGCTTAAAATCTACCAATGGAGCTGGACGGGTAAACCGATCCAAGTATGATTCAATATACGGCTTTTGACGTGCCTTCGAAGTCCAGTTGGTAGAACGTTGGCTTTACTAAAGCCTTCCTGCTGATGTTGTTTGAATCTTACACCGTCTTCGAATTTTTCCCAATTGGGTCAAGTGAAATGAAATTTTCTCCCTACAATAACTAATTTGTATATACTATCGACGGTCACAGTTCTATGTGAGATTTATAGGTTGCTTGCCACCATGACGACAGTACGTCTATCCATTATTAAAAATTTTATAATAATATAGTGCCAAAACATTTATTGGGCACTCGTATGAGCTCTGACAGCGCATACGATGTAAAAAATGACAGAGTGAGGTTTTGTGGAGATATGCTTTGTGAGAGGTTCTAAAATTTACGTTGAAGTCGTTTCCATTAATACCACGCGTAAGGCGCATCTAATTGGGGTGAAAATTTGAGGAAGCAGCTTACTAAAATTACCGACTTAAGAATCGTGTCTAAGCTTCCACGCCTTTTATTTAGCAGTTAAGCGCCTCAATTAATTCCACTTCCAATATTGGCTAATTTGAACGGGTTTTGTAAACAATTGGTTAAATTCAAAAGACCGCTGTCAGTCAGAGACTTTGCAGTGGAGAACCGCGAGCCGATACGGTTTTGGGGCAAAAAGAAGTAGGCAAAATAACTACAATGGGGAACTTTAGAAGGTACATCACACGTATGAACATATAAAGGTGGAAATTAAGGTGTACTGGTCGTCACTGCTTGGGCTTAGCAATACATTAGAACCGCAAATTTAGTATATGGGGCACTTCGTAAAGTATAGTCGTCTTCTTGTATAGGCATGGATCAGCGGGAAAATGTAAGTATCAGAAGACCAGTTGAAGATGCTTCGAGTTATCTCACAGGTTTCTGTCACAACATATATAGGCTTCCGGACGCCCCTTTAACGTTGCATTCTTCAATAATTGCCAGCTAACTTTGCCAAAAAATGTGCATCCGGGACCAGTTCCAGCAAATTTTAACTTGGAAATAAATAGGACTTCATGTTCAGGAGTGCATGTTACTTCAGGGGTAACTCTACGAAACACCATTCATTTCCAGCACATGGGAACTCAATGTATAGTGGTTACCGCGGAAGCTCGGATAACCACAGACTGAGATTAAGGTTAGTTATTGTTCGGTTATTTCACATTTAAAAATAACGTTAGCATGACCTTTCTGATAGAAGTCATATCCTCTTCATTAGTTCTCACTTAAATCCCGCACAATTCGATATATTGAATATTCCAAGCTTATAAATAAAGTAGGCTTCAAACTTCCTACAACTAGTAAGTAAGTTCCATTCAAAATTGGTTACCACAGCCCAAGTATGCAAGTTTTCGAGGAAACAGGATTCAGTGGTTGGTGATGGAAATCCCTCGGAAGCTGATCTTATTGATCAAACATATGGACTTTCGTTGGCTGACACAAAAGCAAAGGCATATGACTGCGGTCCTTCCTTTATATGTTTTTTGAGTCATATTCTGATAGAGAAGCATTTCCGCTCTCGTTGTCGTCAATTTCTTACCGACTGTGACTGCAGATCACATTAGAGTTTAAGCCTACCATTTGATATAGAAAGCATGAATGCTTCCCACCATAAAGCCGTCTCTTTTGATCATGCTTTGATCAATGTCATAGAAGAATGGCGCTAATTTCAGCAATTCCTGCAGTTACCGTTTCCCCGGCGTACTTCGAAAGGTTTTTTTACAGTGCTACAAGCTACATTTTATTTCTTTTTCCGTAAAGAACAGTAAGTGTGTGATAAATGTTTCATGTGCTCCACTGGCTTCAAGTACCTTATCAACCTTGGGTTTATCGACTTAATTTCTGATTTCATCTACTTGACTGAACGAACCTTGTATATCTGAAAACATCGTGTTTAGTGCCTGGTTTCTTGATAGAAGTATACTTTTAGTTTAAACGTCATCTATTTTGCAGCGATTTCTTGGTTTACATTATTGTTTCATGTCTTATTTGAAACTGTCTTTTCCTTCTGCGTTGCTCCTCGATTTATCTCAACTTCTTTATTTTTGTATTTTGTCATTGTTTCGTGATTTGACTGAGATACTGAATCGCATTTTTACCTGCAGAACATTTTATTCCTAGACTTAGCTTTCAACGATGAGTCTAAGGGACCAATGCGATAATACATATGATGCGTCCGCTATTCTTTGATGGAAAACTTTGTGCCCAATAACATTTTCACTATTCTGAAGAAAAGCCTTAAACTATTCTGGGGATAGCTGGACTGGACTTTGCCGTTTGTAGTCGACGATGTGGTCTAAGGAGCCCCGTGCTGAGGATATTGCATCTTGGATAGAAAAGTATTTGTGGTAATTTGCTGGTCTGGTTTGTTAGTGGAATTTCGATACTGGGAGTACCTATGTCATGAATGACTTTACTATGTACGGGATTACTAAGGCGCCCTATATTAGCCAGTACTGAGTCATGTGATTTGGCAGTTCCTCTTTTATTGTCCCCGTACTGTGACATCAGATCCCTGCCGACTGTTTTGGAAGGAAAAACAGTCTCCTTGCATTTTCCCTCTAAGCAGAGTTCAGCGGGGCGGAAGAAATTTCTCTAGTCATTTGTATTCTCTTGTACAGTAGGTCTACTGAATTTTCTAACGCATATTCCTGCATACTTTAGCATGATTTATCATTAAGAACGTAAATCTGAGCCATATAAATAGGCTCAATTTCACTCCTCCTATGGACCAAATTCCTTTCAATATCACATAATTTTTTCCCAGAACAAAGCTGCGACCTTAACACATGTTCGCTCTTCCCATCCTCGATAAAGTTTTACCCTCGTTTTGACCTAATTAAAGCATGGGCAGTAGTACCACTGAAAATCTTTTCATCCGTTTCATTAAAAGAGCTCTTTTTCCTCGCTGAAATAAGTATTTCTTGCACCGGGAGGGGCCAAATAGTTGACTTCATTTTCGCTTCGAAGTACGTCTACGCACGGCGTCAGACGCCAAAGTGATTCTACAAACTGAATCAATCGCCTTCTACCATCCAGTCAATGTCCACAAGTTGGTATTTATACTTGAAAGGCACTTTCCCTGATTCATTAGTAGTTTCAGTACCCCTCCCTTGGATGTAATACACCACGTTTGTTCGACTGGCGTGGTCTCCATGCATCATACGTGACCTCGGGGTTTTTAAATATGTTCGGAATCTGACAACCGCATACTTTTCTACTGTTCGAAATTCAACCTCGAAAGAACTACTGAGGAGGGTCCGAAAATCTCACACTGAGACGGAGACAGGCTTGGGAGAGAGAGAAAAAATGCTTTATTTTGAAGGCAAATATCCAAAAGTTTCAGCAAAAATGGCTGCATTCACTGAGAGCAAGGGATAAGGGAAGGTGAAAGGTCACAGAAGACTCAAAGTCCAAAGGTTTACATGAAATCCACATCTTTTATTGAGACAAATCGGATTTCAACGTCTGAATTTCCGTTTTTTTCACACGTGAGGTAGCGTGCTAGGAATGGGACTATTGAGTGCTTGCAGTCCATGTACGGCAAGACGTATGACGAAAGCTCCAACACATAGTACGTGAAGACTTCGCAGCTATTAGTTCAGAATGGTGAGAATGAGCGACCTCACTAAGAATGCGATCAGCGAATTGTTTGACCGTTTTAAAGTGTCGCTGTTGTTTAATATCAGCTAAAAAAGATAGGAGACACCGGCGGTTGAAGAGAGTACTCGGAGGATGCGTTTAAAAATCAACAGTTATTTTAAGTAAGGCTGGAAAAATAACTGGAGAGCAGAGAAAATGAGGGGGATAATGCAGGCATATATAAATCGCCAAATCAGGGCTTGCGGTGTGCGATATGAACGCAAACGGCGGATATCGTACAAACGTTTACGAATCTTAATGAAAAGGCCTTCAATATGAAGAGTAAAAGAGAGGTTAGATGCCAGAGTGACACGAGGGCACCGGAAAGAGGATACCTCATTGGGCAAAATTTCTATGGATTCAGAAGATTGGAGAGGGTCACAATCGAAGAACACACTGGACTGACCTCTAGTAGTTTACTAGAAGGCCATTTGCTGACGACCATGCTGAGACGTGGTCCAGGCAATACTTCAGCACTCGGGAACGTATCTGACTTGACAGGATTTCCAACGACCATGCCATCAGTATATTTAACGTCTAAACATTCGTTTGGCGATCGTAGGTCGTCAGTGTCGAGGGAGAAGAGGTGAGGGAGATAATGTTGACCCTTGAAGAACTCCACAGTTGTCGGGAAGGACCTTGGATTTTCGCCTGCCGCCCTGAATGAATTGAGTGCGGGAAGTGAAGTAGTCCCCAAGCCAAAAGATAGCCCAGTCGGGGAAGCTGCATGTAAAAGTTTTATTAGAAAGATGGTGTGGGATAGTATTAGAGGCTTAGGAGTAGTCAAGAAAAGCACGTGTATGCACGGCAACCCTTAGCCAAATCTCTTAGAACAGAATGGACTACACCAGCAACAGCGTCTAGTGTACTACGCCTAGCCTTATATGCAAATTGCAGGGCATCTGAAACATCGGAGGAAAGCGGCGTAATTATGTCCAAGACAACTCGTTCTGCACGTATCAGTAGTGTAGAAGAGCAGGCAATCGGAAGAAAGGATTTGGGACCAGAAGAAGAGGCTTTTTCGGGGAGTGATTCTTACTGAACACCAATCACCGGGAATCTTGGAACCCATGAAGGATAAGTTGATAAATTGTCTCAAGGCAGGAACTACCTCAAAAGAGCAAGATTTTAGGAGAAACGGTGAGGGCCATGTAAGTGGGATATACAAGGTGAAGCACAGTTGTATTTTCAATGGTTCAGTGGAAGGGTCAAAGCGGCCCATAGTAGCGTATTCTAGCAAGGGCTTGGAATCATCAACGCCAGGAGTCAGCAGTTTATGGTATTAGCAACCACAGCTCTAGCGTGCATTTGTTACCTTCAATGTTTTACGTCCCTTCTGAGAACACAAAAGCTACTTGTTTTTTGTAGCTTGTCCTATGCCCAGTGCTCGTTTTCTGCTACCTTTCCATTTATCGTCTGCCTGTTGTTTTTTTT